TACATATATATTTTTTTTTAAGAAATTAAGGAATAAAACTTGTTTCCACAACTTATCTGTGCTCATGACTAGTTCCTCAAGGCCTAACCTGGGAGCTGAATAAGCAGATCAACAGTATAGCGAATGAATGCATGGATACGTCACTGTCTTGAGAGAGAAATGATAAAACAAAATGACAACCGTAATCTTGGATTGAGGGGCTGTAAGCGATTTGAGTCTTTGTTTTTGTTTCTACACGTACCTCTTCAGTTCCCCAGTTTAAAGCGACTACGGTGTACAATGGGAGGTCCTTTCTCTTTAAACAGACGAGCATGCCGAAGACCGTAAGCCGAGCAGCCCTCGTTCCGTCTTTCTGAGGTCGGGCCAGGAGGCTACCAGGACCCAGCCAGGCGCTCCTCCCAGACCCAGCTCGGCGACCTGGCCCGCGAAACCGCAAGGGCCGAGAGGCCCGACCTCCACACTCCGAGGAAAACACCCCGCCGCCCAGTACTCACCACCAGCGAGACCACGAACCCCGGCTGGTTCATCTCCCTGCAGACCCGGTCACGGTTACGGTTAGAAGCTGAGCAGAAACAGAAGCCGCTCACCTCCGCGTGCTCCGGGCGCCGCCATCTTTGGGGCGGGACCCGAAGGGCTGCACTTCCGGGTCCTCTGACGTAAAACCACAACAACTGCACGTGCAGCCGGGCTGAGCTGCCCTGCGGGAGCCGGGGAGGAGGAGCCTGGCCAAGGCGGGGGCCGGGTGGCGGGCTCGCCCTTCCGGTTCTCTGCTGCTGCGGAAGAGGCCGGTTGGAGGGGCTCTCTGAGCGAAGGATCCCTAGTTGGTGAGTTCAGAACGAGGACGCCTACCTCGATGACAGGACGCGTGCTTGTCATCCCATCACGCGGGAAACTGGGGCAGGAGGATCACCACGAGTTCGAGACCAGCTTGGGCTACTCAGCGAGTTCAAGGGCAGCCTGAACTACATCTCAAGAGACCTTGATGACTGCTCCTGAACGAGCGACCGTGAAGGGGCAGGACTAGTTTCAAGAGGAGAGACTTTGGTTTTTTATTGTTCAAAATCCAAACAGTTTATTTTATTTTGGTATTATCTTGGTATTAACTCTACAAGTTTTGTCTGAACTATTATATTAACTCATTATTAGGCAATTTAGTCATAATTAGTTACATTAACTCATCATTATTAAAAATGGACAAAAATATTGCCGAAGTTTTCTTACTTGACATAAAAATTAGCATCCCCCATGTCTCCTTACTGGCATTTATTTCACTTAAAATTATTTACTTGTTCAAGAGAGTAGAATAGTGGTCATTAGAGGATAGAAGGGGAGGAGGGAGGAGATAGGAGGAGGTTAGATAGTCCGGATCAAACATACAGTTAGATAGAGACTGGGGCTGTGGGCCAGTGGTAGAATGAGTGCCCATCATCACGTCCAAGGCCTTGGATTAGGAGGAGGAATATATCCTAGTGTTGTACAGTACAGTAGGATAACTATAGTTTTCAATTTGTTGTACGTTTTTAAAACTAGAAGAGTTTGAAAGTTCCCAAGAGAAACAAATGTTTAAGATGAAAATGCTCACTACCCTTATTTGACTTTGCATGTATTCAGTTATCACACTGTACCCTCATAACTGTATAATTTCTGGGTCAAAAATAAAATGGAATAGTTTTTTAAATTTACTTAAGTATTTACTGCTTCATCAAAGCCCCTGTTATTAAGTACTTAATAAAATTTTCCTGGAGTGGACCTGTCTTTATGTTTACTAAACTTTTTTCTAAACTTATCTAAACTATCTTCTCACTTTTCCATATATATTAGCCCCTTGTATCTCAGATGTGATGCTAGGTGTCACCCACATTCACAGAGAACCCTGATGCTCCAAGTTCAATTACCAACCCCAAATCATAGTAAACACAGTAGAGACAGCACTGGAAATCTGCTTAGTGCATTCATCATCTGTTCTCAAAACCCTTGTATTAGGGCTCTTATCTGGACTTTCTTCAATCCATCTTGCATAACACTGCTGCAAACTGTATTCCCTAGATAAAATCATTTGAAAATGAATAGCAGAATAGCTTTAGTTGTTAGATGAGATTCAAATTCTGAGCTATCACCTACTTGATTTGGACATAACTTCGCTAAGATTGAGTTCTCTACTCATAGTGAGACACTGTCTCATTTTTCTCATGTTTCCTCTACCAGAACACTTTTTTTTATGCTGCCTATAAAACATTAGTCCTCACCTGTCACATATCCTCGGATACAGAGTCGCTCCAAACGTGTGGCAGCAAGGAGTCACGTATATATGCCACAGAAGTTTGAGGTGAGGATCTGCATAAACAGTCATGTAATGATTTTACAAAGATGAAAGTAAGTTTACTATAAAAGTGCTGCAGATGTGAGCATAGTCAATATATTACTGCACAAAGATGCAGGGGACAGCACCAAAGATGAAGGGGAATCCTCTAGGGAAGGATCTTGCATGAGACCAAATCTTCGGCAGGGAAGAGAAAATGTCACAGCACGTTGAGTTTTTCAGTTTCTTAAGTACTGCGTTCAGACACAAGTGACTTGGTGCCAACAGGCTGTGAGGCTGGAAGTGTTCTCAGCCTAGCCTAGAGCCTGGGAATGGTCAGTCCATTGGGTGTCCATAGTTATCTCTATACATTCCTTTCTCATAAGGTAGCCTCTGCAGAAAGGCAGCAGCCAAGGTCACCTCAGGAAACACCTCCATTTCACTCTTAACTATAACCTTTTCCCTGATACTATGATAGTTCACTTCCTCAAGGTGCAGGAGAATCTTTCCTGCTGCTGTTTGTCCCTTCAAAGGGTTTGTACAATTCGGTGTGGCCCATCCAGGATCGTGTCCTTTTGATTAACTCAAAGTTAACCTTACGCACATCTGCTAAATATTTTTTGTCATAGAATGCAATATATTCATGATAGCAATGGTCTATCGTAGTGAGGTCCTGCTCACACTGTAAGACCTAAAGTCTCACTTCCACTCCAAGGTACGTGAACAGTCGAAAGGGCCTTCACGATGCTGAGTCCTATAGCCCAACGATGGCTCCAGATGCAAGACCCAGGGCCTTATTTCCAGGAGCATATAGCTCAGTGAGGCTCCGGGAGTTCAATGAGCAGTGAGAGTCACCCAAGAGGGGACACGCCAGACTTGTTGGTAAATAAACCTTTATTAGTCTGGCCAGACGGCACTCTCAGAACTGAGCAGCTCAGAGAGGCCCAGCACAGGGGTTACCACAGTTTTTTAAAGGCAAGGGAAGAGGATTGCAAGCTCAGCAAGTGGGCCAGGGGTCAGGGGGTCGGTTTTCTGCCATCTTTCTAAAGGAGTCAGTTATACGGGGCACCTGGCCTTTCATCTCCAGACCTCAGGCTGTTCTGTTCTAAAGAGGCCTTGAGTCGCTATCTTGTTTACCCATACCAGGCTTCCATACACTCTGTTTTAATCTTATCTTAGAACTGGGTAGAAAGGTGTGTGCTGCTATATGTTGGCTAACTATGGGTTACATAGAGGTTAGGGTCCCATAACACTCAAAGGGAATGATTACATAAAATGCATAGGGGCAGGAATCTTGAGGGCCATCTGAGAATTCCGCCTACCATACTCTCCTATAACTGCTCACTGGCAGGCTCTTGAAGGCCGACACCATTCTATTCACAGATTTTAGTAGCATTCCCCTCACAGCCCTTCCATCTACTTCCTGGTACCAAGGTCCTCCCATAGTTCAGGAGTCACAACAGCACTCTTACCTCCAAGTACCAAAATCTATGTTGTTTATCTGTTTCTGAATAACAAATTAGCAGTTTAAAACAATAACTTCTATTACCTCACAGTTTCTGTGGGTCAAGATTCTGGGAGTGCGCTAGCTGTGTAGCCCAGTCTCAGGTATTCTCAAGAGGTTATAGTAAAAATGTTGGCCTGGGCCATACTGCAAGATATGACCGAGACTGGAAGATCCACTTCCGAGATGGCTCACTCCCATGCCTGGCAAATTCTTCACCACATGGACCTCTTCATAGTGCTGCTTGAGTGTCCTCATGATATAGCAACTGAATTTTCCCAGATGGAACAATTTATAAGAAAAGAAGACAGAAACTACAATGTCCATTAGGACTCGCCTCAAAAGAAACTCAGTTGTCACTGCAGTAGATTGTTGGTTACACAGTTTATCCATATACTGCATTATGGGATGGGACTCCACAAAGACATGAGTATCAGGAAGAATCAATGGATGTCATACTGCAAATCACCACATAAAGGAAATGCAAGCAAAAAAACACGAGAGGATATGACAACACCTATCATCTCAGCATTCTGGGCAGCTGAGGCAGAAGTATTGCAAGTTTGAGCCCAGCCTTGGCAACTTAGCTACTTAGTGAACCCTGTTTCAATGTGTGGAAAAAAAAAAAAAAAAAGATGACTACACACTCTAGTAGCCAAAATGTAGAAGACCAGAAGAAGATTAAACATTAGGTTTATCCATAATAGGAAAAAATGGAAGCAACCCAAAAGTCCATCAATTGATGAACAGATGAACATACCATAGTGCATCTTTAAAATGGAATATTACTCGGCAGTGAAAAGAAATAAATTTACTGATTTGTGCAACAACATGAATTAATCTCAAAGCATTATGCTGTGAGAAGAAAGCCAGATATGAAAGACTACATATAAAGGCAAAATTATAGTAACAGCACACGTAGTTTCCAAGGGCTGGGGTAGGGACACGGATTGGCTGAAAAGGCACACAGACAATATTTTGCAATGTGAAGTGGGCATGCCATGTCAATTATGTTCCAAGACATGTGCCCAGAACAGTTCCCGAAGCCCTGCACATGAAACCAGTTAGACAGTGCTATCTCCAATTCTTGCAGAACCCAAGCAGGTTTTTTGATAGAACAGTCTAGGCCGCAGGTCAGCCCAAGGAGCGGCTCCACTGGGCTCTTGGCCACTGTGGTCTCTCTTTCACAGTGGCCCGCTCTCATCCCGGAGAATGTGCTTCTTTCCCTACATTTAGTTGGCCTAAACTTGCACTAAGAGCATGGTTCTTTTCTTACCTTTAATGAATGTAAACCCTCGATACCTTTTGGACCTGCTTGATTAATTCTAAGGTCAGGATAGAAAGAACCTACAAACCACCTCTGGAAGGAAACTTCATTGCCCCGTAACCCAGTAATGTTACCATAGCTTCCAAAGTGAAAACATTTCCACTTAATAATGTTCTGGAAAGTCTTAGATACAACTCTCCTCCCCAAGAAAAACTTAAACCCAGACTTTAGATTAGAATACCTCCTTTGATCTAAAATTAAGAAAAAAACTCCCTTCAATATAAAGACTTTTTTTTTTTTTTTTTGAGACAGGGTCTCACTATGTAGCTGTAAACTCACAGCAATCCTAGCACCTCAGCCTCCCAAGGGCTGGCATTACAGGCAGGGCCACCACAGCAGGCTGGACTAACTTCCTAAGAAGAAATTTTGTTGACATCATTTTCTGGAACCTTTCATAATCAAGATGAAATATACATTCTTTCATGCAAAGATCAGACTTTACCAAGTAATGCAGGAAGCCACTGAAAACCGCTTTAGTAAATACAGATATTAAAATATGACCTGGGGTTCCTCTTCATGGAATGCTATCAGAAAGACTCTTTTCTGTTTGTCCATGTCTTTTAAATAGAGATGGGCTTCTTTTTGTTTCTATCTCCTTGCCTGTTTTGCAAGCAGAAATGGGATCCAGAGCCTCTCGGACGCTAGGTAAATGCTTTATCACTGAGCTGCATCCCCAGCCCTAAATGTAGTATTTCAGAGTGTCATCATTATCACTACATTGCAAGCATGTAATGTTCTCAAATCTTTCATTTCAAAAGATACAGGCACTGTTTTGCATTATACACGTGCTGTAATACAGCTTCTCTCATTTAACACTATCACTGTAAGCCAAGCTTACTTTTAAAACAAGCTCTGTGGGGTTTACTAAAGTAGTATTTATACAAACTAGCAAGAGACATGAGGCAAAAAAAAAAAAAAAAAAGCAGTCCTATGGGACTACACTTGCTCAACATGCACGAGGCCCTAGGTTCAACCCTGAGCACAGGGGAAAGAAATTATGTCTGGTTAGGGTAAAAAGAATGTAATTTTCAACTTGGCCCATCTAAGCTTTTTTTTGGTTTTTTGTTTGTTTCTTTTGTTTTTCCTACCAGGAATGGAACTCAGGACCTTGAGCTTGAAAGGCAAGCAAGATGCCACTGAGCTAAATCCCCATTCCCCATCTAAACTTTTGTTACTGCTCTTCACTGAAAAATAAGATTACAGTTGCTAGGGTCTGAATGTGTCCTCAAAATTTCTTTTTTGAAACTTAATTACCAGCAAGATTGCATTAACCATCACCATCTAATGAGTTTCTAGTTATCTTTCTGTTCCCAGTAGTACTCCTGGTCAAGACCACCTTTTATTCTGCCTTTCTCCACCTCTCTGCTGACCTCCTCCCTTTTTAAAGTTTTTTCTCTGCTTCTTTCCCAGGCCATTCTCTTTCACATTTTTATTGTACTATTGCAAGTCTTTTGCAACCATCCCTTCATCTTCAGTTTTTCCTTCTCCTCATTTCTCCCCGAGTTTCTCTGGTCACCACTTTTTTCCTCTTTACACACCTCCTTCTCAACACTCACATAAAAATATCCACTAGCCAGGAAGGATACACTTTCCAGTGAAGCATCAGAAATGAAACAAATCCTGGCAGGCACACCAGGTGAATTGGGATTTGGGAAGAGCTTGGGGTGTCACTACCCCCAGCCTGGGGTCAGGGACCTCCCTGAAGCAGTGACTGCCAAGCAAGGATTAGAGAACAGCAGGCCCAGGGGGCCAAGGAGAGGGAATCTCAGGAGATGAGTCTGGACTGCAGGAACCCAAAACCAGACTCACCTCCTGAGATCAACTTCCCGAGGGGGATGTTGGGGATGCAGGGTGAGAATCCACTTCCACAGTGGGGATTTGCCAGGCTATGGAGTGGAGAGAGAAGACGAGGAGAGAGGGTTGGAAGAAGGCAGATATAAGTTGGTGCTATACAGGGACTTTAGCAAGACTTTTGTATTAAAAAATAAAAAGGGCTGGAGATGCAGCTGTACAGCTCAAACTAAGGCCCTGGGCTCAATTTTAAAAAAAATGGAAAACTAGGCAGCAGGTGGCCTCCACTAGAGGAGTCAAAATGACATGGACCTCTGAGCCACTCCAGCTAGAAATGGACTTGGAGGCAAGATCTAGAAGGGGAGGGACTGATCTGGAAGCCTCTCGGGGCAACACAAGACTCTTGCTGAGTGGGAAGAGATGCTGGGAACACTGCGCTGTAGATCACTATGGCCAGGCCTAACTCAACTCTTCCCCCAGATGAAGCAGGGCTCCAAGAGTAGAACAAGGAACATGCCTCTTACTCCCTTGAGGCAGGGCCCCAAGGGAGGATAACAAGCAACAAGAGGGCATGGTGGAGGAAAGCCTAGTGCAGAAGTGGACTACCTTCCTCCCAGCCACCCACCAGAGAAACATCAAGCATTCTCCTGCAGACCCCATCCATTTTTCCTGTCCCAATCAGGCTTCCTGTTACCTACACTATAAATAAAAGTCCTGAGGATGAAAGCCAAGCCTTTTGTCTCATTAGGACAAATGGATTCTACCTGGCCACCACTTTATAAACTTTACTGTCATCTTTGTCGTTCTTAATATCCTACCACCATTTTTCACTCCATAAACCCTTCAGCCACACTGGTCATGGCAAAGTGAGAGGCTAGGATTGCAACTTTCAAAACCACACTCAGGTCTCGGTGTGTGGGACATGACAATGGGGGTGTCCCTGCAGGCAGGTTTGAAGTGGAAAGAAGGAAACATTGTCCAGATGGAATGTTTTTTTCCTCTAATTGCCTCTGGATGGGCAGGAAACTGACTTAGGGCTGGGCCTGAGTCTTCAGCTGGCTATTTCAGCATCTGTCACTCTTTCCTTCCTTCCCACAGAAGTCCTTCTTGATGGTGTACAGTGGAGTCAGGTTGCTTCCATTCTTTTCAAGTTAAATGTTTCAAAAGGTATGAGAAAAAAAATTAGAGTTATAATGGCCATAACTCCGTTGAATCTTGAGAAATCTTCTACTTAATTTTTTTTTAAAGATAGTTTCACTATGTATTTCAGCCTGGCCTTGAACACTCCTGCCTCAGCCTCCTGAGTGCTGGGATTACAGATGAGTGGCATCAGGCCAGACTACTTCACAAATTGAAAAGCTTATAGTCCTTTTTGTGATATATAAATGAAAGATCCATTGGGAACAGTATCTTTTGATTGGTTGTACCTCCATTTAAACAAGGGATTGAGAGTAGCATTTTCTGGTTGGTCCTGTAAACAGTACTCAGCAACTGTAAACTTGCAGGCATTTTGGGTCCCACGTTCTGCACATGCCTTCTCTTTCTTAGGGAACATCTCATTCAACTGGTTAGCCATCAGTTTTATGACTACTGACACATTTTGCCTGGCTGATTCTCTAGTTTACACCACCCTAATCTCCTACCTCCCCTTGACTTTCATCCTGATGGAGAACTTTTAGTTGGCAGGACCATTCAGAGCAAGTAAAGCCTTGTTAGTGATGTCTAATAACTGAATCTTGACTTCAAACAACCTTCAGTTTATCTCCCTTGATCAACTGGGTTCAAACTCTTAAAAGCCAAACTACGAGGTCCACCAGACATTGACTTCAGTCAAGATTCATCTCGCACGAGGAATCCAACCCCAGAACTGGGTTTACACACTCAGTTATAGTTTTAATCCTGATAGCTGTGGTTGGATTCAGCCAAATACTGATTTCAGTCCTACTATAATATTCATCCTTATGTTCATCTGGATTCCTTCCTGATGAGGCTTTCAGTCCTATAGCTGCATTCATTATGTGTAATTATCTTACCCCAAGAGAAAAACTCATCCCATGTGCTGGCCTCAGTTCTGCATCCAGGATAATTCTGTTAACCTCATCTGCACAGCTGGGTTTATCTCTGATATCTCCAATCTGCACACAGATTCATCCTTGATGATTTCAAAGTTAAAACCGTACAAATACACATGATTACTTTTCTCCCAAGAAAAATTCATGCCCAATGCTGACCTCAGCCTGCAACAGAAATTGACACTGTGCTAGCAGGATGATGTTCTCGACCAAGGAACTAGATTCACCTCTAGTTGCCCTCAGTCTCACAGATGTACTGACCCATGACCTCAGCTCTGTAGCTGAATTCATCCTCGAAGTTGACTTCATTCCTGCAGCAGCATCCAACCCTGAGGATTTCAATCCCCATCCCTACTTTATTTTTAGCCCTAAGTCTTGACCCATCTAACACTATTTTAGAACCAGTTTTTGTTTTCATGTTAATCAGAGTTAAGGTTTCTGTCACCTTTAAATGAAAGGATCCTGACAATGTAAAACATCAGGCAGAAATTTCTACACCAGGAAAGAGACTCTGAAAGCTTCTCCTGATAAGGGTTTGCCATTGGTTTCAGAAAATAGATTCAGTTTCTACCAACTGTGTCAAGATCTCAGTATAAGAGATTCCAAGTGTCACATATAAGATGCAAAAATCAAAGAGAGATCAAGGAACCCTTGCCAAAGAAATTCTTGTATTTTGTGGCAAGAAGGCCACTGAAAAAAAACCAATGGTGGTGGGGGACTCAACAAACCTTCATGGTAGAACACTCAGTGACAGTCTTGGTTCTGACAGAATTCCTCATAGCAAATCCTACCCAAATCCTGTCCTTTCTTGGAGGGTCAAACATACTACAATACTTCTTTCCACTTTATAAGGTCTAGCTCATGCCTCATTCCCTCACTAATATGCCTCTTAGTCTATAAGTCTTCCTCAATAGTTTTCACCAAGGAGCCACCTGTCCTTAATGCAACAAACCTCCTTATGACCTTGGTGCCTTAGGTCTCAATGACTCTCTTTCCATAAACTCTTCCTCTTTGGTCTAGAGGACATAATACTCTTCTGGTTCTTTTCTGTTTTCACAATCTCTTCTCTGCCTCCCCATTGCAGAATCAATCTCCTCTAACTGGAGATTGTTTCAGGAACTCAAGCTTCATTCCCCCCTGGGCCCACTGTTCTGCTTTGCCCTTACTTATAATAAAGTCCATCTCCTTAAATGCTTTAATTCCCACCTTCTCCCTGCCCTGAGACCTCCTCAAGCAATGCCTGATTCCCTCCTACTCATGCCTGAATCTCGGCTTGAGATGAAAACTCTTTCCCCTCTTGATCAAACCCCTTTACTGTACACATAGCTTGGGTCTAACCTAGTCTGCCTTGGTTCAAATCCCCCATTCACTAGCCATAAGAACTTGGGAGAATTAAGATACCTGAATGAACAGATGCCTGTTTTGCCATAGGGAGATAATAATCCTCAGCCCAAACCATGGCTAAAGTTGTTAACAGGTGTTAACAAGTAACAAGCTATAAGCAAACTTTTTCTAAAAAAGGATGACACGAACCAAAATCATACTGTTCCTCATAAATATGCATAAATACTATGTGTCAATAAGAAATAAGTAATACATTAAAAAGGACAAAGTTCTGGATCAGTGCTTCTCCAGAGTGTGCCTAAGAATCACCCGAGAGCTGGCACATCTCGGGGTGGGGTGGGGTTAATAACTTGTGCTTCTTACAAGTTTTCTGGTGATGTCAATGCTTCCAGGCTGGAGACCACAGTTTGACAAATACCGAACTACAGAAATGCCAGGGTTCTTTCTCAGAGATCTCAAGTCTCCTGGTTGTATTAAGTATGTCTAAGGATGCAAAAGCCCAAGTACAATATCATTTGTTTTATTTTATACTTCTCTGATCACTGAAACCTAAACAGAAGGTCATGCTAAACAACAACACACAAAAAAAGTAAATAAAAAGAAAATAGCAACCAACAAACTTAAATGCTGAGAGCACAGGAGAGGAATGCGAAGCCTGGCTCGAGGAGGGAGCTCGCACTGCACGGCCATCAGCAGTGCAGCTCAGAGCTGGAACCTAGTGAGCACAGCAGTTAAGCCGTGGCGTAGTCCTGAGACTTGGGGACATAAAGGAGCTCCCTCTTGCTCTATCTGAATCTGGGCAGCACGGCACAAACCAGGACACGCACACCTGGCAAAGCACACTAGACTTGCCTTTTCCTGAGCCATCGCCAGGGCAGAATACCCTGCTTTGCATATATACACGCAAACTCACATTCACACACTCATAAGCAAGGCTCACGACGTCAGGGCTCAGGTACCAACCCAAGCCCAGGTTTGTGTGAGTCTGCTTAGCCACCGCAGAGGCAGCCTGTAAACCATCCTGAGGACCAGCAAGGGAGAGACCGTATTCTGCACCCTGTTGTGGGTGAAGATTATGAGCCACTGGAGTTGCTGGGCTCAGTCACAGAGGTCCAGGGGCCACTTCTGAGATGCCATCCATCTCTGCTTTGCCCCTCAGTATCCAGTTGATAAGGAAGCAGAGTGCTAGGAGGCCAGTTCCTAGCAGGTCCCCCAGCCCAGTAAGGTAGGGGATGCAGTGATTGTCAGGATCCAGGGCCTGGTGCCAGGTCAGCCGAACCATCACTTCTGCCAGGTACAGCAAGATTATCACCTGTCATAAGAGCAAGCAACATAAAAGACCAAGTCGGAAGGCTAATTAGAGCCAAGAAACACCAACAGAGTAGACATGTCAGCCCGGGCCAGTCTCCTTCCTCAAATTTCTCTTGGGGTCTGCTTTCACTTGGACATGTGCTAGAAACTTGCCTTCCAGTGTGACAGTTAAGGTTGTTGAAATCTTAGAGGTAGGGCCTAGTAGAAGATTAGGTCATGAAAGGATTAAAATTGTCTGGAGGGAGTGCGTCAGGTCGCCTGGAACCCGAATAGTGAGTGGGCTGTTATAAAATGGGCCTGGCCCTTCCCTGCTCTCTTGCCTCTCCACTCACACTGTGCCCTTTCAGAACACAGCTGGTTCCTTGATCACTTCTCCATCATGTGTAATAGCCAGGGGTCCCTCATCAAATGACATCATCGTACTGTTTTGATACTTCAGCCACATGAACTGTGAGTCTAATGCACCTTTTTTCTCAGAAAGTTATTCAGCACCACAAAATGGACTGAGAAAGGTCCCTTTCCTAGCCTCCCAAAGTGCCACACAGACCTGCTGCCCATCGCCCACAGAGGCACTCTCTGCCTCACAGGCTCCACTCCTAGGACCTTGTTGGCACTTCCACTGGAATTTGCTCGAGCCCCTCTTACCTGGAGCTTTGGGCAATGAGCCATTCCTGAAGCTGCCGAGGGAGGCCTACAGACCGCTGGGTCCAATGGCTCCTCTGAACTTCATCCAGGCTCCTTTCTCCCTAACTGGAACTATTTGCTGCAGCTATTCAGAACATTTGCTTGGACCTGCCCAAGCCTACCTTTTAGGGTCGGGATCATGCTACATTTGAAAATGCTGTAAGCTTGGGGAAGTTAGAAAATGCCTAGTCCCTAGTACTAGTGACACCCTCAAAGAAGTGCCAATCAGTACCCAAAGACCTCCCTGCAGAAGCCCCAGGCCCACTGAGGACATCAGTTAGGGCCTAGCAGTCTGCTGAACGCCACTGTGAAGCAGGTGTCAGTTTACTCTCCTTCCCCTCCAGCCTCATCGCCATCTAGCCTTGAACGAAGGCCACATATGCTTTTTAGCAGCACTCTGGTAGGAGCCTGGTTCCTGCCTACTCACCCTCTGTAATGCCATGGAGCGCTGGACCCACTCACCAGCCTGCTCTGCGGGAACACCCTGCATCCACAGGCAGCAGCTCCGAGTGAGGGGCGCGCAGAGTGCAGTACGCCAGGCACACTGAGAAGTGCGCAGTGTGCTGTGGGTCAGGTGTGTACCGTATGCTGCGGCCTCTGCATCTAGACCAGGCCACATGGCTCGAACACATTGACTGGGTCCCTGGAAGAGGGGGACCCCTTTCCCAGCCTCTTTCATGCATGTTCTCCATGTCCTCTAGGACTGGAGACAGCTAGCCAGCTGAGTAACCCAATGAAGGCTGCCCCTTTGCTGCTGCAATCCTCCTTACCTGGATCAGACCTGCTAGTAGGTACAGCACCACAAAGGTCTTGCTGTGGGTCACTGACTGACCTTCCACCAGGTAGATGATATAGAAGAAAATCAGGTGGCCTGGGACCACCAGGAAGAGGAGGACTCGGGCTGACTTGGAATTGATTTCTGGAAAAAACAGAAGCAAGAACACTGCATGACCTGCCTGGAAGCTGGGGCTACCTCGGCATGTGGCCATCCTCAGTATGATTTCCACTTTCATCCATCTATCCACCCTACACGTGTTTACACCTACTATGTGACATGTTCTAGCAGAAGAGGATTCAGTCTTGTCTCTTTCCGCACCAACCCTCTGATCTCAGGGCTCAGACAGACTCACAGGGGACATTGCCATGGGCTCCAGGCCTTCCACTGGATCCTTCAGATCTCTAGCATGCAGACGAATCTTTTGTACTCTTCTACAGTTGACTCTGTGGCTAGCCACTGTAGGCCAGTCTTGTAAATTTCTGTGTCCTGCATCTGATCAGAGTATGTGCAGTCTTTGAGGAGACTTGCCCCTGCCTGCAAGGTGTTGTAAGCATGAATACATGTACGCAGCTGACATTTTTGGGAAGAAAGATAATATTCAAACACTCTTCTACAGTTGACTCTGTGGCTAGCCACTGTAGGCCAGTCTTGTAAATTTGTGTCCTGCATCTGATCAGAGTATGTGCAGTCTTTGAGGAGACTTGCCCCTGCCTGTAAGGTGTTGTAAGCATGAATACATGTACGCAGCTGACATTTTTGGGAAGAAAGATAATATTCAAGTAAGCAGAAACAAATAAGAAAGGTCATTTCAAACTGTGACAAGTACTATGGAGAATGGGGACATGACGGACACAGTGTATGAGAGGGGGTGAGATCCTGGAGGTTAGAACACCTCTCAGAGGGGAGATATTTAAGCTGAGATCTAAAGCAGGAGAGAGTGTTCTGGGCAGAAGGAAGAGAATATGTGAGGAGTTCAGAGTAGAAAAGAGCTTGCAGATATCAAGGGGCATTCCTACATTTCCTCATCAGCGAGGACAAAATACTCACAGGATACCTCAGAGAGCCTGTGGGGCCTTGACAGCACAGTTGGGTGTGCTTGTGAGCTCCAAATTTTCCTCTGTTCTATGAGTTTGAGACTTTCCAATGAATGTGATTCACCCTTGTTCAATACAAGCAGTGTTTTAACACATTTCCACCAGCTTGTATCATGGGTGATACAAATGGATCTAATCACTTTTATCAGTCATTTTACTAATAAAATTAATAAAAAGCTGCCTGACAGGACAGTCATGCATGTACACCATTAGTGATTTAAGCCACCCGGCAGTGAGACATACCAATTATAGCCCCAGTGAACATGTTAAGCGACAACATGTGAATGTGCCTGACCTTTCATACAGAAACAGAGTTTCAGTAAAACGTCTGCATTCACCTCATGGTTAATATAATGTATGTCAACAAAATAAGGAAAAGGGAGGGAAAAAGAATATGTAGTTTAAAAACTAAAATGTCAACCATAAGATAATATACAGAGAAAGGATAAGAAAGTATAAGCACCAAAATGTATTCACGATGAGAAGAGAGAGACAATGAATAAAAAGGTTCCTTCTTAAGGGGTAGGGTGTAGCTCAGTGGTAGAGCACCTATCTAGCATTGAGGCCCTGGGTTCTATTCCCAACATCACAAAAGAAAAAAAATCAATTAAAAGATCCCCCAAAATAAGTGACGCAGTATGTAGCCTATAGTGTAGAGCATGAAAACTCAAGAAAACCTACAGAGAACCAATATGTAAACAGTAAGAATTCAATAAATTACTTGGGGAATAAATAACAGAAAAACAAACAGGCTTCTACATGTAAATGACAAGTTAGAAAAAATATGGGAGCCAGGTACAGCATGTGTTGCACAGTTGTAATCCAAGCAACCTGAGAGGCCAAGGGAGAAACAGCGCTGCAGCCTACAAACTCAGCCTGGTCAAAAACAAACAAACAAACAAACAAATACCAAACCAAGGAAGACAGAGTAATCACATAACCAGGATTTCCACTGTTGGACAAGGTGGGAAAGACACATCTTATTCCTATCCATCCCACAAAGTACAATTAAAACTTCTGTAAAACATATGAAACAAACTAAGACTCTGAAAGATGGAGAGAAAAAGGAGCTAGCTAGTGGCTTCAGGATCCAATAAGCAACAAGGTGCAAGTTCTCTGAAGATTTAATGCCAATAGAAAAGTATAGCCTAGCAAAGCAGAGAACTTTTAGGCAGTAACTACTATTATCTGGTCAAACGCTATAGGAAAAGCTGCAACCCTACTCCCACAGTAAAGGTCGACAGGGTATCTGATTTCCTCCTCATGTGGCTCTCCCCTCTGTGGCTGAGGTAGAGAAGGCAGAGTAGAGTCAGAAAGTTCATCCCCACCATGTGAAGAGCAGGAACAAAGCATCCCCCTCCTTCCCAGGCAGCACAGCACAGTCCAGTGAGGGACCTGGACTCAGTATTTCCTGGAAGCAATGAAGGGTTCTCCCAGGTCAGCTAAAACAGATAAGATCCACAGTCTTACCCAAAAATATCCAGATTGAACTTAAAATCACATCATACCAAGAGCAAGCAAAATCTCAGTGGAGATGAGTAACAATAACCCAACAGACAGCAGAATTACCTACAAACAACCTGAACACATGCATGACAGGGCCATAATTTATTTGTATGTCAGCCGCCAGGTGGCTTGAACCACTCGTGGTACACGAATGACTGTCCCATCGGGTGGCTTTTGGTTAACTTTATTAATAAAGAGGCCGATAAAAGTGATGAGATACATTTGTGCCACCAGAGGTTCAACTGCCCCACAGGACAGTCATGTTAATCTTGCAAGATCATGTTAATGAAGCCATTATCAACATGCTTCAGCACAAGATCTCAAACGCACTTAAAATAAATGAAAAAATAAAGCCACAGAAATGAAAGAGAAGATACAAAGAATCAAACAGAAATTTTAGAAGTTAAAAAAAATCAATCAGAAAAACCAAACAATTCATGAATAGACTGAACAGCAGAAGAGGGACAAAAGAAAGAATCAGTGAATTTGAATGAAAAAATTATAGAAACCAGTCATTGTAAGATTGATTGAGAAAAAAATTGACTGAAAAGAATTAAACAGAGCCTAAAGAACTTGTGGGACAATAACAGAAGATCTAACATTCATGTCAGTAAAATATCAGAAGAGGATGGTGCTGAAAAAAAGCAGTGATGCAAAATTCTCCAATTTTTCAAAGGATCTGTACCTACCTAAGGAGACTACCAAACATCAAATAAAATTGGGCCTACGAAATCCTCCTCAACCCATATCATAATCCAACACCTAAAAACTAAAGAAGTCTTAAAATAAGCAAGGGAGAGACACCACCATAGTTCATGGCAGCAAAGGCAATTCAAATGATAGATTTGTCATAAAAACCACAGAGGTCAGAAAGAAGTGGTAAAGTTTTCAAGTGCTGAAATAAACACCTGTAATATCATTGCCAGGAAAAAAAAAACACCCTTTTGGAATGTGCTATGTTTCCCCTAAAAGAGGGATAAAGCCATTTCATGATTCAGGAAAATATACCGGGAGAAAAAAAATCTGATTTTAAAAAGATAAAACACCTCCAATGGCTTCCAGTGGCTCTCCAAAACAGATCAAACGCTTTCCTCAAACATCAAGCCCTTCTAGCAGTCTCTTCTTCTCTCTTGGCCTCAGCTTCCTTCATGCCCTTCTGCTCAACATGCTCTGCTGTCACAAGCCCTTTAGTTGCTCAAACTCGCCAAGCCCCTTTCTGTCTCTGAGCCTCTATTCAGGCTGTTTCTTCTACTCTAAGATCCTCCTTCCCAACCAAGCCCTGATTAGTCTCATATCAGAGCCTTCTAACCCTGAGTCTGCATGATTCCTAATTTTTTAAAATTGCACCCTGTGCTTTTGTCTTTTGGAATATACCACAGCTTGCAATCAGGAGCTTGCTTTTTTTTATGTTTGTCTATTCTTCAGGTCTTTGTACTCCATGAAGGTGAGAAATTAGCTGTTTCTGTTTCACCAGTCACCTGACACATTACTTAGTAGACATCTGATATTTGAAAGAATAAATGAAAGATGGTCTGGGTAGTCAAGTTCCGCAGAAGAGGAGTTGGGGCCTAGAAGGTGATTTCTGCTGAGGTCAGACCAACCTCAGGCAGCTACTGCTGCAAACACCTCATTCGAACAATACAAATTTTCATTTGTTTAAAGAGATGGCCACATGGCCTCTGGAAGACCTGAGACCCACCTGAGGTGCAGAAAGTAGAACGTGGGTTAGGCCAGAATTTTTTCATCTGGAGAGGTAAGACCCCAGGAGTGCTTGAAATGTGCAGGAAAGTGGAGATCCGGCTGGTCTGAATGGCCACCAGGTTACCACCAACACCTGCAAGGAGGAGAAGAATGTGGTTTCTCATTCTTTATATCAGTCGATGAATTCTCTTATCATAAGCTCACTTTTTCCAGGAAGCCTCCGTAGATCAAGTAGGCATCTCTTTTTTCCTCCCACCTGATCTTGTTTAGCACCCAGGAAAGTGGCCCAGACCTCATGAGTGAGTTATCCCCTTGACAGCTGTCGCACCCACCTCTTAAGAGTGAGGGAAGTGTGACTGGCAAAGCAGGTTCTCAGTTCTCAGTAAGTACTTGTTGGCTGGAAGGAGGTAAAATACGGGAGGAAAAACAGGAAAGGAGTGAAGATGAGGAGAGGGGAAGAGTAGACATAAATGCTTAGAAAGCCACTACAGGTAACTACGTTAGACTGCAAGGCCACAGGAATGGACAGCAATCAGACAACAGATGGGAATCACTGAGAAAAACAATGGGAAGGGCAGGGTGAGAACAGTGGATGAGAGTGTAGGAAGACAGAGAGAGGTGATCATGAGCGATAAAACATTTTTCATGGCTGGTGGCCAGAGTGTTTTTTAGGCAAAGCCATTTCTCACTACTGGGCTTCAATCCGTGTGGTGGGTCCTGCTCTGGGGACCCCATACTGTTATTACAGAGGCCCACATTCATAGATGCATGGAGGGCTGTCTGTGGGGGAATGCCAGGAGCCAAGGAGTCATGAGTACAGGAATGGCACATGGGGCAGGCAGAATGAGGAGCCCCAGAAGACCACAGGTGTGTTTGCTCCCCAGAATTCTTGCCAAGCCTCTCAGCTTTCATAGATGTGACAAAGGCTTTGAGCTCTACCACGGACACATGGCCCAGCTGACAAAGGCTATGCTGAGCTCCTTCTGCTGGCAACAGATTTGGGTGCTGGGCAGAGGCTTGACCCCTTTCTATATCCTCAGTCTCATGCAGAATGTCTTTTAGCCAAGGAGGAAGTGGCACAGTGACCTCCAAAGCAGAGAAAAACCACCTGGCTGGTTCCAGAGGATGCAAAGAACAGTCTGCAGGCAGAGAATGACTGCAGATTTATTTTGGTTGGCCCATAAGTGATTTTTAAAAGAGTCAGGAAAACTCTCAAATTAATTGACAGCATTTAATTTTATACTTTTAATCCAGATTTCAGGCTTCTCTTAATAAGCCAAGTCTGGATTTATTTTCCCACCAGGCCACACCTGGCTGGGGCTGACCAGGAAGGCATCACTCCCTTCACATTAGCACTGAGATCTAAAGCTTGCCCTGCTTCCCACCATTGCTTGCTATATTGCTACTCTCTGGCCTATTTAATCTCAAGTTGTCTGAATGACCTCCGAAGGCAGATGAGTCACTGACATCCAAGAAACATCCTAAGCACACTGCCTGCCATTTCCTGCTGTCCTCACCATGTCCAGTTACTGTGAAGCTCTTCCAGGTCCAAATATGTGGCAGGGTGGTGGTGGGGAGTGCTACTTGGACCCAAGAAACATAGGCATCAGGGTAGAGGAGGGTATACTGTGGATATTCAGGGTCTTCCCAAGGGGCTGTAGTCCATTTCTGCAGTCCTGGAAGGCCAAGGCCTGAGGACCAGTCAAACAGGGCAATGCTTTAGCATGCTTTGTTCTTCCACTAACTAGTAAGTTCCACCTTCAGAGCTTCACGAGATACCAGACATCAAACCAAGAAGGATCATCAACTCAGATGCTCACAGGGTTTAGGGTATAGAAGTTGATTAAAAGAATGGAGACACATGCAGGTCAACAGAGAGCGTTAAGGGATAAAGGCAAACTGGAAACACAGGTGCTGCATCAGGGTAGGCCTAGAATATAAAACCAGGATTTTCACAGCCTTCATTTCTAAGGTGAAGACAGAAACTCAGCTTTGAATATGTAAACATCTTTGAATACGTAAATGAGTTTTGATGGCACCAGTGGATCTTTAAAAACCCATTGGAGCCCAGTACCTCAGTTCTGAGGGGCCACATTCAGTTTTCAGGTGCCAACAAACCGGGGGTTAAACTCCGCCTTCTAGGCCTGGGGTTGTTCCGTTAGGAAAGCTGTTGTCTTGGTAGTGCCCATGAAGACAGTGGGCAGGGCTTCCTCCCCCAGTTCTCCCTACACTTGAGACAAAATCAGCTCCAGCAGCCCAGCAGACAGCAATCTGCCCATGGCTCAGCTGTGCAACTGCCCCTGAAGGCCGGTGCTGGACTGATGTTCAGGCCCAACCGGCCCCCACAAATCAACCCAAGCCAGGGACCCCAAGGAAATCATGTCAGACACCTACCACATAAGACAGGAGTAAATATGGCCATGCCTTTGTACTGGGGCTTAGAAATGGTTTTGCTCAGGATGAGCCCTCCAAAACTGGGGAGAGAGCAGACAGCGGTCAAATGAGCAGAGCTGGTGCTCAGAGAGGCCCTGCCAGTCTTTTCTATGCAGACAGTCCCATTGGTGTGCCCTCCCAGCCTCAGATTTCTTCTTCAGGAACATCTCCTGCAGTCTAGTTGACCTCCCCTAGATCCTCTGCGCCCACTTTTCCCATCCCCATTTTGAGACTTGACTGTCCAGCAGGCCCATCAGATAATGACAACCCATTACAAAACAAGTGCATGGCTTTGGGAAGCTATGCAGCTGGCTGAGTTCCCTTGCTGGATGGCTCCTCACCCATGACTGAACAGGGCTCCAGCAGGAAATACAACCTGCACAGAATCACTTCATGGCCCTGAGTCACTTTGTGGGCCCTATTCTGTTCTCAGGAACTACTGCAACAAGACCTTGCTGCCACTAGCCTCTAGTTTAGCAAGTTTGCCCACCCCACAAACTTCTGAGAACTCTGGGAAAGACAGATCGATTTGAATAGAAGCCCAGGAACCTTTTGGAAGCAAAGATACCTGAACCACTATGTCTTTTCCCTGAGATTCAGATTAAAAGAACATGACAGAATGGACTGGGGTTGTCGAATCAAAGTCTCCTAGGAAAGGGGCCTTGACAGTTAGGGCTGGAGGGAAGCAGACCTAGGTTCCTCTAAAGACTCTAAAAGTCCCACAGGGAACTCCACACTCCTCCAGATTACACCAGTAGCCTTCTGAGAACACTGACCGTACTTAACAGCTGTCGTCCTGAGTCCGTAAAGAGAGGCCTGCAGTTAAGCAGGGGTCTGGGCCAGACCTGGACCGTGAAAGTCAGTGATCCACAGCACTAAAGGTGGTGAGTTACTAGGGCTCCTGTCTGATCTCCCAGCCTGGTCTCTGGTGCTGACAACTGTAAACAGGTGACTTCTAGGAAACGAATGAGGTTCAGGATTCACTTAGAGTACAGTTGGTACTCTCCAGTGCTGGGAATTAATGTAGGAGCCCAGGTGACATGCCACTGCAGCCTGAGGCTCTCGGGGGACAGGAAGTAGCACTACAGTGTTCCTTGCTCAGGCTCACCTGCTAATAACCATGGCAAGGATGATTGGAAACCACCCGAACTTTAGGATCTTCATGATTGGGGGGTTCTGCTTGGCGATGAGGACCCACAGGGGGATCAGAGCCATGAAGCCAACGCAGACCAGTGGGGTCAGATACCAGGTGTCTGAAAAACAAAGTGGACACTTGCAGCTCATGTGGTTAAGGCTGGCATCCAGGGCTTGGGCCTGGCCAGAGTGGGCCTGGGTTTCCCAGGCAAGAGGCAGGCAGGGAACCAAGGACAGGGAAGCCTGAGGCACTTCTGTCTTCATCATTTGGGATGAACAAGCCCACCATACCTTCTAAAGATCCTTCACTGTCCCATTAAGTAACAGAAAAGCTCCTGTCTTCAATTCACCTCTGTTTCTCAGTTGTCTGCTATTTTCCACACATAAATGTCCCGCCAGCCAATACTATAAGGAGAAGTACCCTACGGGACATTGACCATGTAACTAACAGCACTTCCCCTGCAACATCTCATTTCATGTTCTTCACATCCTGCTTAGATGTCAGGAGCAAACCAAATCAAAAAGAGGTGGCTGTCCAAGGTACCCAGCAGCAACTAGTGACAGCAGGGACTGTGGAAAGCTGGAGCAGGTGAATGACGCCATCCCTCTCCTGGCTGAGGCCATCTAAGGTGATGTCCGTATTGCCATGTCTCTCACAAGGGATGGACCAGGTCAGCTTGGTAGCTACTCATGTCACCATGTCGTCACAGCCACCAACAGGTACAAGGCTAGAGAAGACAGATTGGCATCTGTCTCAGTCCGCTGTTACCCTGGGCCCAGTGTACTTAAGCACCTTTTACATTGCCTCCCTTCCTTCTTTGTACTCTGCATGTGACTTTCACCATTCACATGTACATAGAACACTATCAACTTTCTTTAGGACTGTCTTCACATCCTGGCCCCACCATTCCAGGGGCAGCTCAGGGTGTACACACTGTCTTTGCGAGGAGGCCCCAACACTGGATTAACAGGCTTGGCTTGCATCCTGTGTACTCCTGTGGGAAGTGACATTAGAAACATTCCCCTCCTTCCTTCTCTGCACTACACCACATGGCCCCTTCCCCTGCCAGAGGTACCTGAGAATGTCCGTACAGACAGAGCACTTCATGGTGGGCATGGCTGTCCTTGGGCCACCCAGGCCTTTAGCAGCCTTTCCTTACAGGACAGTTGTGAGTGAGGTCCAAGTTTTCCCTAACTGGCTACACGTTGCCATCAAGGTCCTGCCTCTCATTCTCCATGGCATGGTAACACGCGCTTCCTGTGTGGGGCTGCACCTTCTCTACTCTCTGTGGCAGCTGGGACAGCTGACCTACTGCTCAGGCAGTGAAGACATCTTCTCCACACTAGGCTCAGTAACTCCCCTAAGCAAAACAGACAGATGTTTATAGGTTCACGAACGTGACTAAATGTCCAAATCCTAAGTCAAGTGTTAAAATAAGCACATGGGACAGTAGGGGTCAGGAAGAGGATGTGGGGAAGCCTAGAACTCTTATTTTACAAACCAAATATGAATAATTAACTCCTATGGAAATCTTCTTATTTTAATTTAGTTTGGCTTAACAGTACAATAAAGTCACCTTATTTGATTCCTATAGCTCTTCATGCCACCCGCTAAACTCCGAGACTCTCTCAAGTGACCAAGTATCACCGGCAGCAGACAACACCCAAGAGGGCAGGCAAGGAATCATCCTAGAGCTGGAACAGAAAGGCTCCCAGGTATCAGTTCTCTACATTATTGGTCTGCTTCAGCAACTAGCATGTAAAAGCAGGGTGATTTCTCAAATCCCTGGGTCAATAGTCCCACAGGGAATTGCCAAATTGGAGCTTTGATAAGGCTGTTCCTTTTGTCTAGGGAAATGCCTTCAAAAACTGTCATTGCATGTTCCCGCTCTCCACTGGTTTCACCCCTGAAGCACATATCTAAGTAGCAGAGCAGACTTAGGCCCCAGGTATTCTCCTTGCATGCCTCTGACCTAAGAGTGGAAATTAAAACCTAGATATCTGTTGGCTTGAGCTGCTCATTTCCCCTCTACCAAGGTCTCTCTGGGACACTTTGGATCTGCTAAATGACCTCAGGCTTTCTTCCTGTAAAAGGGGACCTCTGATTCTGCAACACCCTACCCTAGGTTCCTTCCTATTCCTGAGAATAGTGCCTGATTTGTGTGCCATGGATGGATGCCAGAGTACCCACTCAGCTTAGCCTTGCCGGTGACTCCTCCCTGAAGCTCTCCCTACCTTTGTGTCTATAGAAGAAGCTGCTAACCAAAGCTAGAATGGACAGTGTGATGAGGTCTCCCAGGCTGGCTGCAATGGGTGTGGCAATGTTGTCTGGGTTGACCCCCAGTTTTCGGGCACCAACCACAATACAGACCATCAGCATTCCTGCAGGGAGAGACGAAGAGAACAGAGTAAGTCCCGGGGGTAGTTGGCCCTGAGAAAGCTCAGTGGCCTAGAGGTCTACGGCCTGGCAGTGGGGACCAATAGGTGGTTCCATGGCTCATATCTCCAGAAGCAGGGACACAGAGTGCATCAAACCAGGGTTAGGCTACACACAGGGTGCTTCTCACCTAGGGCAAAGGCTGCGAGGAAGGCAGTAAGGATGCTGCTGGCACACAACAATGTCACCTTGGCCAAGTCCAACCCCTCTCTAGACATGGCACCCAGCAGCAGGGCAGCCACTGCAGCCAGAAGCCCCACAACAGTGGCCTGCACCTGTTGAGGCAGAAATGAGACACATGAGAGAGGGTCCTTCTGCCTAATGCCACTCCTTCTACCCTCCACTATACCTCCCCTGATGGAAGGGGATGCTGCCACCCACCACCGGCTCCTGCCCTTCACGTTAGCTTCGGCTGGCAGCCCTTCACTTCAAAGAAACAGACCCTGGCACCTCCCTTCAGGCTGCTTCCCCCATTTCCTTGCTAGACACAACCTTGCTTGCAGAATCAAAAGCCTCCTCTGTGACTCTGGCCTTGGTCAAGGAGCACCCAGGCTCCTGCTCACAGCACCACTCTCACTGGTCTTCTGACTGTCCCTCCTTGGTACCTGCCCTACACCCTGGTGTCCCGACTCACAATCCCATCAGACTGCCATCCAGCTCTGTCCTGCAGAGCACTCAGTTCTGTGGCTACACAGATCCTTGCCACTGGGTGCTCAGATCTAAGCCCCAATGTTGGAACCTCTGATTCAGCATGTCACACGGAAATGTGTTGTTTTGAAAAAGTCTGACAGAAAAAAGAGCCATCCATGTTCATGGATGAGAAGAGCTGGTTTTTGAAAGATGAGAAACGCTCCAAAATGAATCTCTGTAATTCCAATCAAAGTCTTCACAGGATTTTTCATGGTATTTGATGAGATGTTTTAAATGTCACAAAAGTGAGTAAACATGTGAGAATAGCTAAGATGATTTAGAGAAAGAAGGCCAAAAAAGAAAGAAGTAGACCAAAGAAAGACAGCCAAAGAAATTATTCTGGCATATTTATCATCAAAATTACGTTAAAGCTATAGTAATAAAAGTGGTATGGTACTGACAGAAATAGACAATCAGCAGGACAGAGTAGAGCCCAAGAGCAGGATCATGAATTATGAAACTTTAAAATTTGATAATGAAAATGCAATCATGAATATATGAGATTTTAGTATGATATACACAGCATTTTCAATCACTGTGGTATTGGTGAATACTGGGTAAACAAGGTGCGGGAAACTGATCATCTATGTTTGGGGAAACAATGGGTTTCTATTTCATAATACACACACACACACACCCCTAAAAATTAAAACCTCCCGTGAGTGGGGACAGTACAGGCCAAGGTGTGTGCACTTTCCTGTGCAGGTCAAGGCAAGGAGTGGGATGAGCTGGGCATAAGGCTGCTGAGCAAGGCAGCAATGGTCCACACCAGGACAAGGGGAATTCAGGTGCCATCAGCTTAGGAAAGGCCACAGAGGATGAGCTGGAAGCAGCTAGAAGGGCGCAGAGATCTACAGATTTTAGTTAGTGGAGGGGAAGGTGAAGTAGGGCTGAATTCAGACAAGACTCTGAGGCAGAGTCTTCTGGGAGGCTCGATGTGAGAATGAGGAGTGTGGGGAGCAGCTGACGGCTTGAATGGGAAGGACCAGTCATGAGCACAGCTGATATGACTCGGTGATGTCAGCTTTCCATACAACTATAACAAAATGCTAGACACAGTCAGTTTATAACGATGAAAGGTTTACTTTGGCTCAAGAGTTTTGCAGCTTCCAGTCTATGGTCAATTGGTGCCAGTGCTTTGGCCCTGTGGTAGCACATCACAGCAGGAGTACAGGGCAAAGCAAAAGTGCTCACTTCATGGCCATGAAGCAGAAAATGAGGAGGGGCCTGGGGCCCACGCTTCCTTCCAAGATCACACCTGAAAGATCTCCCGCTAGGCTTCAGTGCCTAAAGATTCCACAACTTCCCAACAATGCCATAGGCTGGGGACCTTTGTTAACCTCACAGGCCTTTGGGGGACATTCCAGACCCCGATTTTTTCCAGCCATGTTCTTGAAAGATGACACCATCCTAAACTATCGTGACCTCACTGCAACTCATTTTGTAGACAGTGAGGCCCTTCAGCAGGCTGACTCCCAGAGTGAGATGTCCACTGTCACCGTGGATGGAACAGAGGGTCTTCAGAAAAAGTGAATGTGAGGAGGTAAAATAATGAGACCAGATCTGGCTGTACTGTTCTGTGGATGCCTGTGGAACAGGCAGATGGAGATGCTATTAGATGTAGGGGCTCTGAACCTAGTTGAGGGGTACAGTGAGTATCACTGATGGACCAGGACATATAGCATGGCCCAAGGCTACCAGCGGACAGGTAATGGTCTGTCTGATCTCAAGCATCCACTCTCTGGTGATGGCACAAGTTACTCCCACCCAGAGAAGCCCAGAAAGTTTTAGGATAGAGCACCTGAGAGAGTTAGGTTCACAACCAGCCTTCCTCTCTGCCTCTGAGATAATTGCCCCCCCGACCCTGGTTCTTCCGGGTGTAATGCTCAGTAATAAGGACCCTCAAAGAGAACTTAGCCCATAGAGGGTGTGGCAGGAGGAGGTACAAGTTTGAGAGGAGCATGAAACACTCAAAAAGGCTAAGTAGATCTCTTAGAGGCTGACAAGGAATAGGCAGGCAGGCAGGAGTGAGGCCAAGGGGCAATTTCAGGCAGGAAGGATCCACCAATGCTCCCAGAAAGGTTAAATAAAGTCATATGGAAAAAATCTTAGGACGCATCAAGTAGCAGAGTACCAGTGACATCGGAAACAACAGTTTGAGTCAAAAAAAGTAGGAGGAGGAAGAAATTTGTTAACACAGGCAGACAGAGAACAACCAAGTATAAGTAGATCTTTCAAGAATTTCGTTTGCAAAGAAGAGGGTGGAGAAGAAGAAAGAATCTTCAGTCCAGGGAGAGGCATCATCTTCAGGTGGGTGTGGCAGTGCCCTGGAGGTGGGCTGGAGTTCTCAGCAGCTGCAGGAATGGGGCCAACTGGACAGGCAGCCATATGTCCTCAAGGTTCAGTCCAGAGTGCTGGGACAAGGGTTCATGGAGTCCCTCCCCTTCCTGCCTGAAAATCCGAAAAAGGAGGGCTGTGTCAATGTGACAAAGCAGAGATTCACCTGAATGAGAGCAAGGTTGCTGCTGATGACTCTGTGTTTCTCCTGAGGGTCATCAATTTGTCCAGTGTTGGCCTAGAATGAAGAGAAAGGGACAGAAGGTGAGTCTGGCTGCACCCAAAGCAGTTTAATTCATCCTAGAGCTTCTGAAGCCTCTCAGGAGAGAAAATCAAGAAATACCATTTCACTGACTTCAGAGCAAATGGAGCTACTTGGTGTTCTAGACAGCAACACAGGCTCTTTCAAGGGAGCTGGGGGACCAAGGTAAAGGCCACAGTCCCCTTGAGAATGGGAGAGGTGTCACAGGCCATCCCTATATATGCATGTGTGTGAGTACATGGGCACATATGCAGAACACATGTGTTGGGAATGATTTCAAGGCATCTCCAATTCTCGAGCTCACACGCGGACTCAGGGTAAGGCTTCCTGTTGTGAAATGCACACAGGCAGACACCGGGCCACAGCCAATATCACCAGCAATTCCCTTCCCTCCTTTCCAGCTGGCCCTGCCTCAGTGACCTGGCCCTGCACATCCTTTGCAAAACCAACCCATTTAAGAGACGCACCATAGATTTCTTCTCTCATAGGGTAAAATATATAATCAGACTTTCTTAAAAATGGTAGTTGTCTCCTAGTAGCACAGTAAATGTCAGCAAAACAACAAAAACATTTGATGGATATATATTTCTCTAGTTGCATTTATTTTTGTTTTTCTTTTTTAAGATGAGGTCTTCCTATGTAGTTCAGGCTGGTCCTGAACTTACTTTGTAGCCTAGGCTGGCCTTGAATTTATGGTAACCCTCCTGCTTCAGTGTCCCAAATGCTGGGATCACAGGCCTGTGCCACCATGCCTGGCTCTTCCTTGCTCCTTTATACTTTGTTAATTACGTTTCTGAACTCTGAGGGGGAAAAGATATAAAGATGTACCTACTACTGACAAATGTGACGGTCACTTTTTCCCCTACCCACGAAGAAAGGCCAAAGCCCAAAATGTGCCCCGTAACTAACTGGTGCCAGGCCTGTCCACCCCTTCAGGCAGATGGAGGGCTCTTACCTCAGTGTCCTCGTAGGAACAGGGTAATGAGGTGGAACAGAAGACTACAGCACAGGCTCATTTCTCTTTTATGCTCCACCTGTGCATTCATTGCACCTTTTCGCTATTTTAACTCACATTTGCTATTGACTGGCTTGAACCTTGATCCTGGATCCTAGCAGACAAGGATGGTGCTGTCTCCACTTATGAATCAGAGCACACTTGCCTTCCTCAAGGTATTCTATTTCTATTAAGTGTAAAATGGTTAAATATTCCAATCTCTAACTACAGCCCTCATAGCAGCCCAGCTTTTACTCTGAGTGAAAGTGCTCACCAAGTTGACCAAGTGAAGGGTCTGTTCCCTCCAAGCCACATCCACAGTGACCCATCTCTTCCCACCAGGCTTCACCTCCAAACATCATACCCAGCTATGAGCCCATCCATCTAATCCACTGAGGAGTCTCACACATCCACAATGCAGCCACTTCCCAAAAGCTCCATCTATGAGCACAGGAGCCTTTGAGGGGATGGACACCCAGATACAAGCCACAACATATACTAATGTACATTCTCAGGGATTTTTACACTGTCACTCATATCCTTTGTTTTACTTTAGGGGGGGTGTTTTCATGTTGATATGTATATAAGCTAACTAGACACCTAAGTATATAAACCCTAATTTGTGTGTGCATGTATGTGTGTGTGTGTGTGTGTGTGTGTGTGTGTGTGTTTGTCGTGCTAGGGACTGAAAGCAGGGCCTTGCACACACTAGGCAAGTGCTTTACCACTGACTTATACCCATAGCCATTATTAATTTTATATATAACTTCTTCCCTTGTTGGTTATTATCTTTTTAAGATTATTTTTAAGACAACTGTAAAGGATAGAATTGTGTCCCCCAAATGGATGTTGAAGCCCTAGACCCCATTACCTCACTATATGATCTTATTTGCTTTTTTTTTTTTTCCTGTGCCGGGGATTGAACTCTGGTCCTTGTGCTTGTGAGGCAGGCTGCAGAACCACTGAGCTAAATTCCCAGCCCCTATATGTTCTTAGTTGGATATGAAGTCAATGTAGATGTAGTTACATAAGATGAGCCCACAGTAACATATGAACACAGAACAAGATACCATGTAGCAGAGATGTGTTTACAAGCCAAAGATTGCCAAAGATCCCCAGCAAGACACCAGAAGCCAGGGCAGAGACCTGAAACGGACTCTCACACACCCTCAGGTGGAGCCAGCCCTGCTGACAACCTGAGCTGACTTCTAACCTCCCAAACTGGGAGACAGTAAATTTCTTTTGCTTGAGCAATCCAGTTTGTGATTCTTAGGTGTGGCAGCCCTCACAAACTAACACAGAAAATATGACACTCCTTCCATTTAACAGTGGCATTATCTGTCCTATATAGACTTTGTATTTGTTCTGGTATTTAAAATGCATTCTCTTGTCACTAGATTCTAAAAATACAAGTGTGTTCTTCTGGTATTACTGTTTATTTCAAATTGCATAATACACTCATGATATATACTGATACACAACAAAAAATCATTTCTAAAGAATTAACCAATTATCTTAGCATCATTAATTCATAATGTATCCCATCTTCACTGATTTAAAATGCCAGTTATCAGTAGCAGATTATCTTTCTTTCTTTTTGTTTTTATGTTTTTTTTGAGACCTTGAACTTGCAGCAATCCTTCTGCTTCAGTCCCCCAGTACTAAAATTATAGGCATGTGCCACCATGCATGCAAAAGATTATAGTTGGCTAGTAGATTCTATTTTTATATATCCAAGTTTATTTTTAGATGTCATGTCTCATTGACACTGGCTTTAAAGTATTTTACTATGGCTTTATACTGTATCCTTTTATTTTGGGGGGGGTACTGGGGATTGAACTCTGGTCCTTGTGTTTGCACTTGAAAGGCAGACGGCAGAACCAATGAGCTAAATCCCCAGCCCAGCTTTACATTGTATCTTTAAACCTGGATTTTTTTTTCTTTCTTTTTTCTCTCTTTTTCTTTAAAAGACAGTATGTTGCTATGTTGCCCAAGCTGGGCCTAGACTTCTGGGCTCAAGCGATCCTCTTGCCTTAGTCTCTCAAGTAGTAAGGACTGCAGGGCTACCACTTCCAATATTGTATTGATTATTCTAACCCACTTATTCCTCCAAATTAACTTCAAATAGCAACCACAATACCTTTAGCATATTGGTAGCAATTGTATTAATTTTATAAATTAGAAGAGAGAATTGACAACTTTACAACATTTATTCTTCTCATTTTGGAACTAGACCTCTTTCCAAATTTGATAGGTAGTACACATTTCTGTTTGGGGCTTTTTATGGTATTTTCAAAGTGGTTAATATATTAAAAGTTTTAGCTTTTTCAGTTGTATTTTATAAATGATTATGGTGTGTACTGGACTCTACAGATATATAATGATGCATATTAATGTATATTTTCTATTTCATTAGGCATTATTTTAAAACAAGGTCACTTTACTAAGTGCCTACTAGTTTAACAGCTTTTTTTAGTTTATCTGGTTAGATTTTCTAAGAATATAAGCCTATCATTAGCAAATAAGTTTTTCTTTTCTCTAATATTTAAGGCAATAATCCTTTTCTTGACTTAATTACATCCACTAGAACATGCAAAATAATTAAATATCACTTTTACTTCAAGTTATAGTAAGAGTGTTTCTTAAATCATGAATGAGTGTTAAAGGCAAATCCATACAGAATGAAAGCTAACTCAGAAATGGCCAGGATGGAAGGATAGGAAGATGACCTCAAAAGGAAATGAGAACTTTCTGGGGAGGGAGAAATGTTCCACATCTCCATGTAGACCATAGTTATATGCATGTACTTATCTGTCAGAATTTGTGGGGTTTTAATGCATTAATTTATATCTTGATATAGTGATTTTTTCCCATTAAGTTTATTGGTACATTTAAAGCACACAATACAGTTACATTCATCATTGGGATCTTGTACCTTTACATGATATGTCTTGGTTCTCATTTTTTTCCCCATAACTCTACCCTTACTTTACTCACTTACCCTTCCCTATTTACAAAGACTTCATTTCCATTTTTTCCTTTTTTCACATTTTTTTCTTTTCCCTTGTTTCTTTTTCCTGCCCCTTTCCACTTCCCCTTTAGCCATTTCTTCCTATGCTGGCGGGGCTGGGGAGAAAGGTACCCTTCTCCATTGTTGGTGGGAGTGCAGTCTGGTGCAACCACTGTGGAAATCAATATTGAGATACCTCAAACAGCTGGGACTAGAGGATCCATTTGACCCAGCTATCCTTCTGCTGGGTATCTTCCCAAAAGAATTAAAAGAATCATACCACAGTGGTATATGCTCACCCATGTTTATAGCAGTACAGTTCATGATAGCTAAAACTTGGAAACTGCAATTGCCCACCAACTGAAGACAGGATAAAGAAGATATGTTTTTTCTATAAAATGGAGTACTACTTAGCCATAAAGAACGAGAAACTAGAAACATTTATAGCTATTAGATACACATTGAGGTTATACTCAAGTGAAATAAATAGGACACACTTGAGTAAATACTGCAAATAGTTTCTCTGTTGTGAAAAACTAAAAGTGTAAATAAGGTTCATATAGTGACTTTAAAAATAATAAAGTGCTTTGATGCTTCTGCTGTGATAATGATATATCTGTTCTCCTTAAACTATTATAATGAATTATATTAATGGATTTTTTTCCTTCTATGATTCATATATTTTAAAAGGATTATAACACTAAGATATGATTATTGTATAGAAGGTTTAAAATACAGTTAAGCCTTATGAAATACAAATGTGACTCCTGAAATCTCCATGGCAGAGATAATTATCAAAATGTTCTTCCTCCTAAATATGGACCGAAATAATCATGTGTGCGTGTGTGTGCCTAAATCACAGTACCAGATGCTTAAAATATTGCAATGTTTTACAGAGCTCTATATGAACTGACCCCTTCCCCCATGGTCTTTTTTCACACACAGGACATCACATGGATAACAGAGAGAGTGAGAAACCATTCTGCAGGACAAGAGGAAAAGAATTCCAATCCCTGGGGATAACTGAGAAGGGATGAGAAGAACTGGCAAGGCTGTGAACTGTGCTGACTACAGAGCCCAGGGGAGATGCCTCCAGTTCCACAGTAACATGGGAGCTGGTCTGGAAAATAGTATGGTAAGGGAGTAACCAGCCTCAGGGTGCAGAAGGGTAGAGGAGGAGGCAGCATGCAGTCGGGGCCACAGGGTCCCAAAGAACCAAGCAACACTGATGTTAAAGGAGAAGTGAAGGATCCCCAGGCACTGGCCTGGTCCCTCATCCACAGTCCAATTTGACCATGGAAAAAACAAAGTGACAGGGCCAGGGATTTAGCTCAGTGGCACCACTCCTGCCTCGCAAGTGCAAGGTCCTGAGTTCGACCCCCAGTACCAAACACAACAAACAAAAAACAAGATGACAAGCAGAGATGGGTGATCAGGAACAGCACCATGAGGCTACAAAACTCAGTAACACTCATCCTCTTGAAAACTCCAGTCCATACATCTATGAGCCACTGAGGATAGACAGGTGGTGGGACTACATCATCCCCAGCTGTGGGTGCCCTGAAATCCCTGCTGTCAACTTACAGCCGTGGAGAGCCGCGATGCCAGTGTCATTTCCAGGTTCCCCTTCAGGCCCACTAAGGGTGGAACCAATGTCAAAAGATCTTTAACCTCCACAAACACCGGCCAGTGCTGCAAGAGAAAGGATAAAGAGATAAATTCTAACACAGAATCTTCATGGCTCTGGAAATGTCTTTGGAATCCTTATAAAATGTACAAGACCTAATAGAATCACAGATATCTTTAAAGACAAAATAATAAGAAAGCCATGAAATGTTTTATATTATTTATCCAATCAGCACTAGTGGTTTCAGGCAAGCCCCTCTCTATCTCTGTCCTCAGAAGCCAGGAACATTTGGGGCTGCTCCTGGCTGGAGGCCAACCAGTCTCACCCAGCATTCAAACACGCAACAGCATTTGTCCGAGCAATGTGGAAATTTTTTGCACAATACATAATTTTGTAGAAATATGAATAAGTCATCATTTCAGAGCTGAGGGGTTTCTCATAAATTAGAAGGCCTAGCAATACCTGGCAAGACAGTTAGGACTCTAGGGTGGCAGTGACCTTGTCAGAAAATATCCCTCCAGGCTGCCCCAGGCCCTGCCTCCCTCTGCTCCCCAGCGCTGAGACTGAGTGTAACTTATCACTCAGGAGAGCCATGCTGGACTCTGAACTTTTCAAAACAGAAAAATCTGTTTGATGGAGACCTCAAGTCTCTGTCAAACATTATAAAAGAAAGAAAAACTAGAAAGACAGAATGAAAGGAATGCAAGTTTCAAGAAAACTGGAAGAGAAAAAATTTATTTATGGAGTTGCAAGTAATTCTTACCTGTTTAACATGCAACCAGATTGTTCTCTGGAACCAACCTTGTGCGGGGGGGGGGGGCAAAGGGACACACATATTGGGACTTGAACTTTGCACTGAGCTTCACCCACAGCTTTTTTTTTTTTTTTGGTGTGTTGAGACAGAGTCTTAATATGTACTTCAGATTGGTCTTGAACTCAAAATGTCACCCAGGCTGGCCTCCAACTTGCAGTGATCCTTGTGCTTCAGCTTCCTGAGTTCTGGGATTATAGGCGTGAGCCACCACATCTGGCTGTTTTTTTTTTTTTTTTTTTTTTAATTTTATGACAGGGTCTGGCTATGTTGCTCATTTGCCTAAACTAGACTTGAACTTTCAGTCCTCTTACCTCAGCCTCCCAAAATCAAATTTTAATATCCTAACCAATCTGATTTAATTTATTTTGCTCAACTGGTACCTATAGATATCTGTGGTCCTTACACGAGCATCTCCTCTGGTCTTGGAATTCTAGAGGAGCAGATTCCCATCCCCATTCCCCTCAGAGAAGTGTGCAAAGATGTGCAAATCCACTTCTCTAGAGGGGGCACGAGAGCCATCTCTAAGCAGCCCATGGCCTTACAGGCATGGAGCTGGTAAAGGGATTGCTTCCTGTTTAGATCAGCAAAGGTAACTTACAGCTCCCTCCTCAGCTTCTCCCTTTACACTATCTACAAAGCTGTGAAATTCAGAACCCTGGCACAACTCTGATAGAGTCCGGGTTGTCAAAGCGTCAGAAGCAAAGTGTCACCAAGAAAGAGGTGTGTAGCCCTTATCAGCACGCTCCATGGCCTCCCTGTCCTCCAGCAGCATGTGGCCCCAGTCCTGTGTGCAGCTGTCCTATCAGCCCTGAGCACTCCTACAGTACAGGACATAGTGACTATTACACACACACTCATACCACTGGGCAAAGGGTTGGCTAGCCCACCCCTATTCCCTTCCTGCATGTCATCCATGCAGGCCCTTGCCCTCTTCCCGCAGATGAAGACCATTTTTGTAAAATACAGACTAGACCAGATTAGGGCCTGAAACAAGTATGTGCATACTCCTGTCAGGTAATGAAGTCTTCCCCCAGTCCCACATGCACACTGTCCCCGCCCACACATAAGACTAAGTGTCCACCAACACCAACGTCATAATAATCTCTTCCTCGTCTCCACCTTCCCTGTCAGTGAACCTCTCTAACCCTGACTCTTTTCCAGCGCCACCAACTTCTAAATGTGTCCCCATCCTCACACTTCCTGTAACTCCATGCTGTGCTGGCTGGGGTCTGCCATATTGCTGTCCCTTCCGATGGGTAAACCCCATGGATTCCACTAGTGCTGGTTCCTCTGTGGGATGGCACCGTACTCCCTCACAACACATACGCCTTCTACAACAGACTTACCTCCAAACCCTCTCCCTCTGGCCTCCTAGGTCTATGCTGGCCTCTCTAATGATTCTATCTTAGTCTCCACTGTGGGCTCCTCTTCTTCCTCCTAATCTTTTCATACTGACTTCCTTAAATGCTTCGCTTTCTGTTCTCCTTTCTTTCTACACCCTCTCCCTTCCAAGGTGTGAGTTACCTTCCACTGCACACTTTTCATTACTTCTCCACATAGCCATGAGTCCAGACTTACGGTGGTCCCATCTTCCTTGCTGGTGGCTGGCTGCCATAGGCATGGGGGCTGTGAAATGATTCTGGCCATGAGAATAAGAATTCATGGGCCGGGGATTTAGCTCAGCGGTTCGGTGGCCTGCCTTGCAAGCACAAGGACCTGAGTTCAATCCCCGGTACCAAAAAAAAAAAAAAAAAAAAA